ACCACCACAACAACAGATTAATGCTGTGGTAAAACATTTAATAGGAAAAAGAAACCTGTGGCACTGAGAGCAATAATCCAATTTACACACATTTCCTGCGTCTTTTCCCATAATGGGTTTTTTAAGGCAGGGACTACTCCTAAATGTTTTGAAAAACTGAATGGTTGTGTTGTTTCTGTCCTTAGTCCTTTATGTAGATTGGGTTCCTCCAAAAGCCTTGTGTAACTAAAGATGGTATTACTGACTCACCACCAATGGGGTATGTATTTTGGTTTGTTTTCTATGATACAGTGCTGGTTTGTGTTGACTCATCCAGAATCCTTAGCACGGAAAAAGAAGGCTTTCACAACCTTGCCCTGATATTCCTTCCTACCCCTACTCCCTATCACTTGGCCAAAGTGAGTTCTTTTCTGCTCTTTCCATAACCTTGTCATAATTCTGTCCCTTTAAATAAATGTACTTCTTATGCTTACCTCGGGAGCTCTGATAGCATAGTGCCTAAGGCACTTGACTGCTAATCAGAAGGCTGGCGGTTCAAACCCACCAGTCACTCCTTGGAAGGAAGATGGGGCAATCTACTTCCATAGTGATACTGCCTCAGAAACCCAAGGAGGGGTCACTATGAGTCGGGTCCGACTCGATGGCACATAACAACAACAACAACAACGCCTACTTCAAATGCTTCTTCCATCATGAAGGTTTCCTCAACTCAGCCTATCACACCCACAGGAGAAGAATCAGAATGACCTGGGCTCCAAATCTTACCTTAAATACTTATGAGCTGTATGACCTTGATAATCTCCTCAATTTATCCAAGCTTTAGTTTCCTTACTTAAAAAACAGGGATATAGGTAATATGATCTATATTATAGTGTCGTTGGAGGTTTATATATTTAAATTACTTAGGATGCACTGGTGCTCAAGAAATGTGTGTTCCTTTCCTCTCCTTTCTTTTCTCTCTATTCTCTCATAGTTCATAATTCTATCATGGCTATTGAGAGCAGAATAGAGCAGTGGTTCTCAACCTAGTTGAGCATGTTAATCTCCTTTGTAATTACTTATTTATACTAGTTCTTGAGTTCCACTTCAGCAGCTCTGGTAGCATAGTGCCTAAGGCATTGGGCTGCTAACCAGAAGGCTGGTGGTTCAAACCCACCAGCCACTCCTTGGAAGGAAGATTGGGCAATCTACTTCCATAGTGATACCACTTCGGAAACCCAAGGAGGGCTCACTATGAGTCGGATTCGACTCAGCGGCAGTGATTTTGTGCGTTCTACTTCAGATCTAGGGAATCAGAATCTCCAGGAGTAGAACACTGATATTTTTAACAAGCCCCTCAGGTTTATTGGCATCGTGATTGAATTCATCTTGCATGGGTTTTGCTCAATTAGAATCTAAGCTCCATTTACAAGATCTTTATGTTTTTTAATACATACATGTATTTTTTTTAATTGACATATTGCCAGTTCCTAAAAGAGTGCTTTGCACCCAGTAGGTGTTCAATAAACATTGAGTAAATGAATAATTGGAAAATAGAGAAATGCATTCCTGCCCTTACAGAGAATACAATTAAATACAAGAGACAGACATTTAAACTCACAAATAACTAGTATCATTGCTAGGTAACTCAAATACCCAAGATGTAAAAAAGCCGGTGACATAAAGATCATATTTACATTAATGGCCAAATAATGACAGTTAAAATTATTGCTGGCCCAATGGACAGAAATTGCCTTCTCAAAGGGCCTTACAGCTACTTCTGAGAAGCTCCAGCGGAGTGCCTACAAACCAGTCACCCGGAGAACTCATAGGGCAATGTTTCTCAAAGTGTGATCCCTGGACAAGCACCACCTGGGAACTTGTTAGAAATGTAAATTCTTAAACCACACCCCTAACCCTTTGCCATTGAGTGGATTCTCACACAGAGTGGTCCTATAGGACAGGGAAGAAATGCCCAAAGGGTTTCCAAGGGTGTAAATCTTTACAGAAACAGACTACCTCCATATTTCGCCCATGGAGCGGCTGGTGGGTTAGAACTACCTACCTTTTGGTTAGCAGTCGAATGTTTTAACCACTGTACCACCAGAGCTCCTTAGCCTCACCCTAGACCTACCAAATCAGAAACTCTGGGGGGTGCTAAGCAGCAAAAAACAAACAAACAAAAAATTGCAACCATTGCCGTGGAGTCGGATCCAACCCATAGCGACCCCTCCTTGGGTTTCAGAGTCAGTATCACTACGGAACGTGAAGTAGATTGCCCAACCTTTGCTAAGCAGCAACGTGTGTTTTAACAAGCCCTCCAGGTGACTCTGATGCACACTAAAGTTTGAGAACTACTGTCACAGGGCATTTACATTCTTTTTTCTTCTCTTACCCTAGCTCCCAACTGTTTTCACTACCTTAGAAGTTGATTGGTTACCTATTGTTACTGGTCATCAGGAAAACAATGGTATATGGCAAGGTTGTTGACTTTGGACGTTCCACAGATCCCAATACTTGGAGCGTCAACATGACTTGCTACATGTTCTGCTGCAGGGATGAGTGCTTCCTCTCCAATTCACTGCCAGTGTTTATTTCGAACACCTGAGCCCCAAAGCAGCTCTGTTTGTGTTTAGAATCTTTCAAGCTCCCCTTCTGTTTCTGGCCCTCTAATTTCAAGAGCTCAAACTCTAGGTAGTGGAATGGGATCAAACACCCTAACACCTTCTTCATTCTACTAAGCGCTCTTTTCTGCTACCACCAGACATTCCCCATTCTCCTAGAGTTACGAACAAAAATATTGCTCAGACCTGGAGGTACACAGAAAGTATGATTAAGCAGAGAAAAATCAACTACCTTCCAAAAAATTCAATCCTTTATTTTACTTTCAGTATTATTCTTTTCCTAGCTCAAACAAGCAAGTATGATAAATAGCATGTGTTGGGGCAGGGGCAAGGGCCGAGAGAAGGATGTGGAGTGGGGGTGGGGGAACGCTTTCCCCTCAGAACTGATGTTTCCTTGCATGTGGTGGAGCTAACGATGTAACACTCCTGGTTTTTCTCCATCTTTACACTAACTAACTTGCTGCAAGTAGGAGGAGTGACCTATATGATTGGTAAATTTTGGAAAAATTAACCAAATATGCTTGTCTCAGCTTCTCCCTTTTCTCTCTTAGAAGTGAGCCCTGTAGGTTGAGTTTTTCTCTGTTCCTCTGGGTGGACAAATCTGCTTAATTCTGGAGTTTAGTAATAAGAAGCCCGTTTGTTCACAGATAAAAGTTATACTTTCTAATCTAGCCTATATCAGTAATTAACGTTATATTTTTAATTTTCATCTGCCTATTCTTTTTCATTTTTCTCAACTGGTAAGAATTTGGGCAATGAAAAGTCCCCCATAACCTAAAGTCTCCAATTCCATGTGCAAAACTGCTTTAGATAGGTTCACTGAAAAACATGATTAATATGTTAAATCATTACTACTACAATTTAAGTTCCATGAAGACAGGTTTTTTGTTTGTTTTTTGGTCTGTTTTGTTCTAGTTGCTTTATATCTAGTCGTAGGAGGGTGCCTAACACGTATTTGTTGAAAGAAAGAATGAATGATGTGCAAATATATTTCTGTTCTTGGGTCTTAATAAAAAATATTGTTGGGTTTTGCTTTACAAATTAAGATATATTCATTAATTCAACAAAATTTATTCAAATGTCTCGTGTGTGGAAAGCAGAACACAAAATATTGAGAATAAAATGGTGAACAAGATAATTAAATTTTCTTTCTTTTTAGGACATGTCTAAAGTTTTAAATACTACTTTTTAAAAAGTTTGTATTTCCATATTTTTTCAGTATAGAAACACATTAAAAAAATTCTCAATTACCAATTCCTTTCCTGGGCATCCCTTGAAAAACTCTTCATCAGAAACTGGATCAGTGAGATATGATTGAAGGAGATTTAGCCGAAGACCTGTGGGAGGTTCATTTGTCATTTTCACTCCATTCTGTAGAATTGTTACTGGAAACTAAGACAAAATAAATGAAGAGCATTATGCAAGGTAGCAAGCTTGAGCCCCCAAAATACATAAATTAGTAGATTACAAAACAGGTACAATGGAGGACTTCAAAAACATTTTTTAAAATCTTGTAAGGTTCCCTAGTTAAAGCTTAAGATATACAATGTAACAGATAACTTAATAAATGTACTGAATTCCATGTAAATAAACATACTTTAGGGGATGGATAACTTGTGAGCCAAAGCCTAAAGGAAGAGTTACAGATTTCAGGAGTAAGATCTTCACATATTTTTTCCAACATGGGCATCCAAGAGACAGCAAGGTGACAATTCTGTAGGCAAACCCAAGTTCCCTCTTCCAATGCTGCTTTAATCATTTTTGTTGCAACTGGTCCTTGTCCCTGTCCCAGTGAAATAGCTTGAAATTTGTTTCCGGACATAGCTTTATCATTTGCAAATTTCAGCAGGCCTAAAATGGGCACAAAAAATCGTCTCACTACTAATTCTAAAATTACCAAATATGTCTAATGATTTTAGTGTTCAAGGATTTAATTGTAAAAAATTATAGTTACCTTTCTCTGTAAAAACTAGATTCATTAGCTAATGTACAACCATAGAAGATATGTGCATTGAGCAAGATATCTTATTTATAATTCCTTAAAAGTTTACAGTATATATTCACTTACTAGCCATGGGATCTGCTCCTGGAGACAGCACAAAGACTAAGGGGATAGTACAATTTGAATCCAAGTAACTCTTTGCCAAGTCAAATGGTGGAGGCTCTACAAACTTTTTCCCAAGTTTGTCAGTTACATAATTTGTTATAGCTGGGGTAATCTGTGGAAGGCAGAAAATAATGACCTTTAGAGTAATTTTTACTCCATGTAACAGCTTTGACTGTTATTAAAAACCAACAAAGAGCAAAATAAGTCTATTGGCTAAGAAAAGCATGAAACATATCATAGACAAAGCACGAATTTCCTTAATATAAGAAACGCTCCAACAAATTAACAGGAAAAATTCAAGAATCAAAAAGAAAAGTTGGCAAAGGAGATAAACAGTTTACAGAAAATGAAATACAAATAGCTCTTAAACATATGAAAAGATGCCCCATCTTATTCACTATAGCAGAAATTGCAAACTGTCCTCCTCCATCTCTTTTCGGTAACAGCACCCAAAGATTTCCTAACCTTTCTTACACCTAGAGGTGGTCATGTGACCAAGTTGTGATCAGAGGGTTAAAAGTACAAATTGTTGTTGTTGTTACGTGCCGTTGAGTCAGACCCAACTCATAGCGACCCCTGCTTGGGTTTCTGAGGCAGTATCACTACCCTTCCTTCTGAAGAGTGAGTGGCTGGTGGGTTTGAACTGCCAGACTTATGGTTAGAGTCAAATGCCTTAGACAATACACTACCAGAGCTCCTAAAATATAAATTATATATGGAAATTCCAGATCATACTTTTAAAAGGAAATTGCTTTCCTTCAATATTATCTTTCTCTCTTCAACAAATGTGGTGCTCATGAGCCAGCTAGCTTGTGAGGCCACACTCTGAGGGACTTCTCTAACATAAGAAAAGGAACCTGAATCTCTGCCTGATCTCAAGAACAGAGCTGCCCTGCCAGCCCTCAATCATTTGCCTCTGCAGTTAACAGCCACTGTACTGTAGGTCACTGTTACAACAGCATAAGGAGCTCTGTTAGCATAATGGGTTAGGGTGCTCACCAGAAGGTCAGCAGTTCAAACCAACCAGCTGCTGAACAGGAGGAAGAAAAGGCAATCTACTTATGTAAAGATTTACAGCCTCAGAAACCCAACAGGGGTTGATGAGTTGGAATCAACTTGATAGCAGTGGGCTTGGTTTTGGATTATAGGAGCTTAGACATTACTGTGTAATAAATTACATGGTATGGCTTTTCTAGCCATGGTCTTTGTAACTTCCACTTTGCCAGGAGTAACTGAGTAGCTGATTGTTAAAGTTATCCACCTTGTGTATTTCTACTGGAGCAGCAGGAAGCAATCTTCTGGAAAATATTCAAAGTTTGCTCTCTCTCAGGTGTGTAGAATTCTGATGTTGGGATTGGTTAGTTTTGCCACTCCGCCAGGCTAAAACTGAGCACTCCTAAAGGCAGAAGGAATCTTTCTGCCTGCCAGCTGAGAGAGATGCACTGCTGAAAAAGAGGTGCTGCTGAGAGAGAGATGCAAGAGAGACACACTACTGAGAGAGAGAGAGATATGCTACTGAGAGACTGAGAGAGATGGTGGCTGCTGAGAGAGACTGCTGGCTGCTGAGTGAGACGGCCAGCTGTAAGAGACTGAGTGTATTCCTGAAATTGACTTTCAGCCTGTTGCTTCCTTAAGAAACCCTATAACCCATGAGTTCTAGGTGGCCACTGCAGCAAATTATCGAGCCCAGCAGAGAGGTGGTGGGTGCCACAAAAGTATGGTTGGTGTCAAGGTTAGTAAGAGGGCTGGAGGGTGGTGGCATGTCTAGCCTCATAAGAATAGGTGTTGGGCTGCTGATCGTGATTCTGTCTTCCTCTTGTGCAGTTAGAAGTCAGAAGATACTGTCTCCTTGCCCCTTTAGCAGTCATAAAAAGGAAAATACAAATTATAACTATGTTTAAGTGCCATTTTTCACCTATTAGATTAGCAATGATCGAAAAATGTGAGCAAAAGTATGAGTAAACATTGCTGTGGAAGAGTAAATGGGGAGTTCCGGTAAGATGGCGGAATAGGCAGAAAGACTGCACAGACCCTCTTCAACAAAGAAAAGGGAAACCAATTAACACAGACACAGAAGATAATCCTGGACCCCTGAGCCTTGAAGGGAAGGATATAGAAGTGGACTAAACCCCAACTAGCAGAAGAATTTGCATGAAAATACCAAAAAAGGAGACAGAGTTGCAGTCTGGCAGCAATCCTGAGTGATCCTGATGGCACAGACAGCTTGGAGATTCCCAAGTGCTGGTAGGACCTAAGAATTAACCTAAAAATCAGCCCTGTTAGCCAGGGACGGCACGGAGGACTGCTCTGGTGGCTGGGGAATAAACGGAGAAGGCGAACAGAAAGGTGGGCTGAGCTGTGGATTTTTGCCTGTCCAGAGGGCGCCGCCATTTTCAATGTTCACAAGCGGCTTGACCATTTTGGATATTTAAAGAGACAGCGCTCTCCCAGATTCCAGGGACTTAAGAACACGTTCTGCTTGCCAGCAACCCCAAGGACACTGTACCTGCAGGACTGAAAAGATGCGACATTCCTCTTGTTACTCTTATACCCCACAACCACTTGGTGAACGGAGGTGCAGCCATCCCCCACTCCCACCCACCTTCTGGGCCCACAAGAACTCCATCCTAGTCTGCGTATTCAGATGGAGCCTGGGAGCCCTGCCCAGTCCTCCACTGATCTTTTATTTTTCTTCTTTTTCTGGTGTTTAGTTTTCTTATATTTATCTGTTTTAAAACTACTAATACTTTTGTCCTTTTTACTATTATTCTTTAGTCTTCCCCTCCCAGGTACTAGTACAGGTTTCTTTTTCTTTTCCCTGTTCTGAGTTTAAAAAAAAAAATTTTTTTCTAATTTATTTTTCCCCCTTTTTTCTCATAGTTAATCCCATTCCTTGTTTTATTTTTTGCATTTTTTCCCATTTTTTTCTCCATTATTCTCCTTCTCTACCCTTTTTCTCTTAGTGCCCTAAGCCCAGATATTGCAGGTTTTCTTGCTTTTTCTTCTTCTTTTTCCCTTTTTTATTTTTTTGGTTACTGTTCCTGTGTGTTTACTTGGTGTGTTTTATGTCCATGTGCTTTTAGTTTTTTGATCATTATTTAACTATAATTTTTGTCTAATTGAGTGGGAGACAGCAACAGTCTCTATAAGACACAACTACACCCACACCTCCTACAACTTCACTTACTGAGCAAGAGCCACTACCTCCTTCTCCACCAATGGGCCAACAATAAAAAACCACCAACAAGAGCCTGAATCACCCTTGGCTGCTCTTCACAAACAGTTAACAGAGATCTAAATACAACACCACCACGATGTCTGAGAGACAACAGACCATCACAGTCTACACAAAGAAGCAGGATAAAGTGGTAGAAACAAGAGAGCAGGATACAGACCCAGAACTGATCCCTGAGGAAGAAGCAGCACTGGAACTCTCTGATAAGGAATTCAAAAGAATTATCTTTAGGTACCTTCAAAGGATTGAGAGACAGACCAAAGAAAACACAGGAAAAAACCATAGAAGAATGTTGGGAAAAAATGCAAGAACAAAATGACAAAATAAATGAAAAATTAGAAATGATTCTAAATCTACAGACATAAATCCAGAAGATTAATACTAAATTGGCTGACTCGACGGCACATAACAACAACAACAACAACAAGGGTAAAAGAGTAGAATCAATGCGATGGAAGACAGAATTAATGAGATTGAAGACAAATACCTGAATATTTCTTTGGAAAGGGATCAATCAGAAAAAAAATCAAAACAAAATGAAGAAAGTCTAAGGTTCATGTGCGATACCATCAAAAGGAGTAAGTTATGTGTCACTGGAATTCCAGAACAGGAAGAGAAAAATAAAACTACTGAGGAAATTGTCCAAGATTTGTTGGAGGAGAACTAACCTGATATGATGAAAGATGAGAATATATCCATTCAGGAAGTCCAATGAAACCCAAACAGGATAGACCCCAAAAGAAAATCACCAAGACACATCATCATCAAACTCATCAAAACCAAAGTCAAAGACAGAATCCTGAAAGCAGCATGGGAAAAACAAAAAGTTATTTACAAAGTTCAGCCAGTAAGATCAAGCTCTGTTTTCTCAGGAGAAACCATTCAAGCGAGAAGGCAATGGGAGGTATATATAAAACCCTGAAAGAGAAAAAGTTTCAACCAAGAATTGTATACTCAGCAAAATTGTCCCTCAAATATGATGGTGAAATTAGGAGATTTCCAGACAAGCAGAAACTAAGAGAATTTGTTAAAACCAGACCAACCTTACAAGAGATACTAAAGGGAGTCCTTTGAACAGGGAACCAAAAATAGCAAATATCAACTGACCATTAATACACAAGATGACATAACCCAGAAACCACAGCTATGGACACAGCCAAAGTAAAATGAGCTTATAAAATTGTAAACAGGGAACCAGAGACATCAATTGGCAAGAGAGGACAACTACAAA